GGAGATCAAGACGAGACACTGACGACTACGGACACGAATACTTCGCAGAACCCTATAAAGTTGATCTCCCCACTCATCATCACTTACGAAGCAAGGGAGGGGCGGTGGGGTAGCCTAGTGGTTAAAGCGTTGGCTCGTCACGCCGAAGATCCGGGTTCGATTCCCCACATGGGCACAATGTGTGAAGCCCATTTCTGGTGTCCCCCGCCGTGATATTGCTGGAATATTGCTAAAAGCGGCGTAAAACTAAACTCACTCAGTCAGTCAGTACGAAGCAAGGTAAGCGCCCTTCCGTATCACCTGGCTTTCACAACAACAAATAATGGCAAAGTATCTCAATCGAAGGTTGTATAGAGTATCAAATATATCTTTCCATGCTTATCATTATGCCTGTATGGAGAGTTTACACTGAATCGGTTTGGTTTTGATCTCAACCTATCTCATTTCCAGTACACATTATTTCATCGTCTGCTATGGCTGCCAGGCATAAACACTGGCCCCTGTGCCATACATAGGGTATGTAATGTGCCGGACAATACTGTTTATAACATGTATATATATCATTCTAGCATACAGAATCATCATTCCTTTATGCTAACATTCTAAGGTAAATATTGTATGCTATGCGGAGATTACCGCCGATATCATTTATGGCTTTGTTTAACTCATGTCATGAGTTGTCGCCCCTGATCTTTGTAAATTTCAACCCCTCAGTGATCATGATATTTCTGTAATTTTTTAATGCACAAATAATAATATTGTCGGCGCTCATGCATTCAAGCTGCATTAAAGGATTTTTAAAAAGGTTAAACTATGCATTTTTATTACATAATGCCATTCAAACATGAATGTATACCACATCTGCACTATCCATTTACGAAAACTAGTCCTAAAAATTATAAATATGCACCAAAACTAAAAACACTTTAGCCCCGCCCACTCGTATGCATATTTTTATGTCTAGCGGTCTGCCGTCTGTGGGTGTGACGTCATACCCGAGAGTCCGCTCAGTGTGTTGACATTTCAGTAGTGTATACGCCATCGAGTTGAAAGTGACATGAAGCGCAATGTTTTGAATGAAGCGTTGTTGTGTTTATGTATTGGAAACTGACAACTGCACCTTGAGTTTTGATGATCATCCAACTGCGTAAACAACACGGATGTACATTTCCTGAGAAATTCTATTTGGCAAGAGGAAGGGCAGAGATTGTTTACTGTCGTCGTGCGGATTTTGTGAACCCCTCCACGCACGGTCATCTGTGTTCGTTACACTTTTCAAAGAAGTGCTATGAAAAAGACCTAATCTCTGGCGAAATATGGATATGAATAGGCAAAGCTTGAACTTTATAAGGATGCTATATATCGGGCATTCCTTTCGACATTGCAAACAAACACAGAGGCCGAAATGTCAACTTGGGACTGGGACCGAGAGAGTCGCATTCCGGATGCGACGTTGGTTGCAGGTGAGTTTTAAGATGTAGTTGTTTTGGAGCAACATAAACACTCCAGTACTAGCTAGCTGTATAAAGAAATAGTTGATGGAAAAGTACGTCATAATTTGCGCTCATGTCCTATTTTCGATCAGAGATATATTTTCACAGTCACTGTTACTGTTACCCAGTAGGTCCAAGTCATCTATTTTACGAGACGGAATGTTGGGTGTTTTGTGGTGTGAGTGTGTGTGGAGGGATTGGGATGGGGGTGGACATGGACAAATGAGAACTTGCAACATATGAGTGCGGTGGTGAGAGAGAGCACATAATTATTGAAACATGATAAAAAATAAGTCATATCAGATATTTATCCACCAGGGACTGGTCCCCTACCATGTTAAAATGGTATGTGAATTGTGTGTGTGTGTGCGGATGCGTGCGTGTGTTTGGGGCATGATTAAAATGTTGACTCTTACTCTTTCTCTCTTTAAGGCAATGTACAATAAATAAAATGAAAATGACTGCTCTGCACTGGCATAAAAATTAGGTATCTATGGACCCCTTGCAAAAATATCATGGCAGCTGTATATGTAGGTAACTTTTAACCTACTTTCAAAAATGGGAAATCAGGGAAATATGTTCATTCAGATAATGTATTTCTTTGTGGGTTTTGCTTTTGGCAAATGTAAAAATGCTACTTTAATGCTATTTTTTAGAATGTATACGGCAGCATTTCTCATCAATGAAAACAACCTAAATACCCAAGAAGTGACGAAGACTGGAGAACCCTAGAGGGCAATCAGCTACCCCTAAGCCTAAACCAAGAGGCCGAGCCAGTGAACAAGAAACCAACACGTGGTAAATATAATTCAGACAATCAATAATCTTTTGTTGAACTGGTGCACTCACTCGAGTTTGAAAAAAACCCACACTGTTGCTATTACTGCATGTTTTTATGTAACTAATCAGTCAACACAACGTCTTGTTTGCAAAGACACTGGTTTTTAATCATCATGTCTATTTTCCCTCTCAGCATTTGTTAAGACAAAAGTACTTACTGTTTTATCATTATGTTGTTTGAGTGGCATTATAGAAGTTGAGACGTACAATATATAACAAGTTTTATGGATAACAACTTCTTTATTTTCGTGAGTGCGACGTTTCGATACAGATTCTTGTACCGTTGTCAAGCAAGCACTCTTGCTTGACAACGGTACAAGAATCTGTATCGAAACGTCGCACTCACGAAAATAAAGAAGTTGTTATCCATAAAACTTGTTATATATTATTTATCATTATGGTTGCCAAAACAAAATATACCGATATTGTGTTATAAAATGTCTCTAATTCAATGTAAAATTTATTCACAGAGTTTGTGAAATTCCTACTCAGGGCCATTCTCGAGAGAAGAAACATATTTCCTTCCTACAGCCTTGCAGGTCACAACAGCCAATTTTTCCTGGATATTCTGCCAGACACTTTCATTTATAACTAGTAAACAGGAACTGGTGAATTCACAGACATTAAGATATAAAATGAAATCATGTTTTGTGTCTAGGGTGTGAACTGAAACCAGTTGTGCCTGATGTCTTAAGGTCTATTGTATTCGTCCGTTTGAATCCTGGGACTTGTTCAGATGGGACTGATCACACTTTACGCATTATTACTAGAACACACAAGAACTTTCTTTTTCACTAGCTGACAGTTAAAGAGATAGATAAAGATTTGTCAGTTCTATTTTTTTTATCTGTATATATTTATTATATCTATTATCAGCTGTTAAGGAGGTTACAGGTCTTTATCATTTTATGTATATTTTGCAGATTTATATGACTAAGTATCCCGACAAATAACCGATGCTTTACACGTGAATGGAAATAGAAAATGTAATAAAACTGATGTTTGATGCATCATATCAGAGACGATACACCGACTTCGCCGAAAACATATACTAATGAATTTAGGGTACTTCTGTACTGTATACAGTAGTGAGATCGAACTTATTGACTTCCGTAACGGTACGTATTTCATCACCATACTTAAACCTTTACGGACAAATTTAGCAGAAGACGCATTTTATGAAATAAAGCTGAAAGTTACTTAATAATCTTCATACAATCATGAACCTCAAACGTAACTATTTCAGTGTTCCCATACTGATGTATACTGGAAGACAGGCTCAACACATTGATCATTGCCGTTATCATGACTGCAAATGTTACCGTGACCGAGGAAAAATTAATTCAGTATCTAATCAGTTTTCCATGAACATGTGATAGGCAAGTGGCTTGCATACAAGTCTGCAGTAGGTCTATTCAAAACATAGTCATAGTTGGGATCGTCCCACGGTTGTATGTTGTCAACTGGTGGAATCGTCGTTAATACTGTTAATGTACTGAATATTTACAAATAGATGTAAATGTATGTTCTGTAAACATGCTGAACATTGTTATTATGTTGTTATTATATTGTTGCCACAATTGTTTCAGGGTTTAGCGTGTACACTGAAATCTCAAGCCACTTGGAAGTAAACTTACAACCCTGCATTCACTCTACGTGTTGTCACTGTGACCCAGCCACATGTTGATGATGGTAGTCTGTAGATAGTCGAGTGTTGGCTGGATAAACGAGTGATTGCTGTTATGGCAGCTTCCAAGCAGCCGGTGCATGACAACAATTATTCTTCCATGTGACGGAACCTATTCATATAGTCCCCTTGGACGACATATCCTTGATCCTTGATAACCAGAATCCCATGGGAATGAAGCATACGGTTCGTGACCGGTGTTAAACACATGTAAGTCTTGAACAATCTGTACACAAGTCTGAGAGTGTACCGACATCGTTCATTAATATTGAGGGTCAACGTGCGGGGCTTATGTCCAGGAGCTCTAACGTACTCCGGTCGTCTTCTTTGATACCAGCACAACAAAATCTCGTCCAGTATACTTCAGCATTTACTCTTTAATATTAAACGTCAGTACCAAAAAATGTCCAGTCCAGTCCTCAGAAAAGTTAGGGAGTGTTTTAACACCGCTTTTAGCAGTATCACGGCGGGACACCTAAATGGGCTTCACACATTTGGTCCATGTGGGGAATCAAACCCGGGTCTTCTGTCTGACGAGCAGACGCGTCAACATGAATGTTCATGTTCTCCAAGGTACAACAGTTTCCATATTCAAACCCAAACCAACAGACAACATGTGCTTTGTGAACGTGTAGAGTGTAGCAGACCCACAAAAAGATAACGGTGTGACTTATTCCTGGGTCAGTGAGTGAGTGGGTGATTGAAGTGATGCAGTCACCCAGCTATATCACAGGAGCCTGAAGTTTGTAATCTTAACACTATCACAGCTATAAGACTGCGACAATAAATCTTGAATCATTACCCTGCGCATTCAAAACACAATCACTCATTCGACATCACTCGTCCCTTTCCGTAACATGCAAACTGTCCCCGAATGACGAGTTGATCACGAATGAACCACGTCAACCCTGTACGGTATATCTCTTCCTGTGCTCAGTTTCCCTCTACACCGGTTACCTAGGGTCTATCTCGCCTGGTGCTCAGTTTCCCTCTACACCGGTTACCTGTCTGTCTCGGGTAAGTGTGTTGTCACAGGGGCTGTGTCTATTCCAGTTATAATGCTACACACCCGTCCTACTGTGTACAGGTAACACTACAATGGTTCATCTAACTGTTAGGTCATCTCCAGGCACATTCTCAAATCCGTGCACCTAATATGCTGTAATATTTAGACTGAGCATGGTGTATGAAGTGTCTACTTTCATTACTTCCTTGATCGGCCTCTTGACTTTAATACTGAGATCTGTCCCGATGTATGTGGATGTATGTATCACGTGTGTATGTAAAGGTTCTTACTGAATTGATCTCTGATAAATGCTACATCACAAAATATGGTAAAATACTTTTACATAACAACATTATTTTACAACTAATGTAGCGGAATCCGAACTGAACTTCTCCTACTTTCGATATGGTAATGAGCGGGTGTCGCCATGTAACTCTGTCAGGTGATTGACATGCTGCACACGGTTCATAACTGAATGTTGTAATGCTGGTGACGACGAGTAGCAAAGATCCATTGACGAGCTGCTCACAGACAGGCCACTGATTCCTTGTGCTCCGTGACACCAAAACATGCCCAGTCTGTTATACTATACAATGTCATGTGGTAAAGCTTGTCAACCTCAAAAGATAACATATTCCCATAGCATAATATCACAACTCCTACAACAGCCCGGGGGACCGACCGCCTGACTTTCATGGCAGTGTTTCGTGAAGTAAACATCTGAACTAAATTATGAATTAATTCCGTAAAAGAATAAGCTTTGAAATCAACAAAAACAACAACAAAGAAATGTGCTGTAATTAACATTTGCATTCTAAAATTAACTAAGTTCAGAAACCAGTACAAAGGCACCACAACTGCCCCTAAACTTTCGTATTGTGGCTCAACGGTTCCAGTATGTCAGGCAAAAGAGAGAATTTTGTGTTTGTGTAAACCGTGAAATATCTGAGGGATTGTATGTTCTGTGTTTTACGTATGAAGAAGTATCCAGTTTCAATATCAGGCCAAAGAAAGAATCTACAAGACTGACAGAATCAAACCAACAGACGGTTACTTCCCTTCATCCTATATCCAGTTTCTAACGCTTCTAAAATACAGGATTGTTTGTGTATAACGTGAAGTATGTGATGGAATGGCTGTTTTGTTTTATTTATGATCAGGAAGACAGAGCGACCCACACACGCTCATCATACACACACAATACAGACGGCCCAGTTGAAACCCGTCTACCAATGTTATCTCTCTTTGATTATAGATTCTACATACATCTGGAATATGTTTTCATTCGTTCATAATTCCAAGAGCAGGATTTACTAGACATAGTTCTTTTAGACCTGTCAGTAAATCGGGACTACAAATATGGTCGGTGTTTGTGTAATGAATGTTGTGGTTTGTATAGTGGATAGAATGTTTATGTCGTGTCTCCTGACTTTTTGGTAGGAGAGATGGCGACCTCCCAGAAGTTGACAGAACATTTCCTGACATGCACCATATGTACAGAGGTGTTTGACAAGCCCTGTACACTTGTATGTTATCACACCTTCTGTCGGAAATGTGTCGTCAACTACACCAAAACCAAACGGGAAGCCATCAGTGCCAAGTCTCTCCTGTGCCCATTCTGTAGGAAGATGACGAAAGTGTCTGACCCCGAGAGACCAGTGGAGGAGTGGGCGGATGACGTCAAGCCAAGCTTCGTCATCCAGGGACTGTTGGACTCGTTTGGCCCCGGATCTAAAGGTGAATAGTTGTAGGTTGTAGCAATATACGTGTTGTTTGCAAGCAGGTAACAGAATAATTGATTTAAGCAGTATAAATGTTTGTGATGTTATGAGCATTGTATGACCCCTGCTATGTATATACTAGTATAGTTTGATGTATGTAAAAAAACTGTTTATGAGGAATGTGAACATTCATTGTGGATATGTGTTCAACGAGCAAGACACAGCATATCAGGTGACATGACCAACGACATACATAAACCTTATTCATGATCCGTACAACAACGTTTACGGTGAACCAATTTCAAACATATTTACATGACGTTTCAACCTGAGACGAGTTCCGATGTTTCCGATACATTTTCAAGTCAAGTAGGAACATGATGCGACACATCCAGCCCTATAATACATTGGGATGTAACCAAGTTAATATCACCACATCTAGCCCTATAATACATTGTGATGTCACCATGTTAATATCACCACATCTAGCCCTATAATACATTGTGATGTCACCAGGTTAATACCATCACATCTAGCCCTATAATACATTGTGATGTCACCAGGTTAATATCACCACATCTAGCCCTATAATACATTGTGATGTCATCAAGTTAATATCACCACCTCAGCCATATAATACATTGTGATGTCACCAGGTTAATATCACCAAATCTAGCCCTAGAATACATTGTGATGTCACCTTGTTAATATCACCACATCTAGCACCATGATACATTGTGATGTCACCAGGTTAATATCACCACATCTAGCCCTAGAATACATTGTGATGTCACCATGTTAATATCACCACATCTAGCACCATGATACATTGTGATGTCACCAGGTTAATATCACCACATCTAGCCCTAGAATACATTGTGATGTCACCATGTTAATATCACCACATCTAGCACCATAATACATTGTGATGTCACCAGGTTAATATCACCACATCTAGCCCTATAATACATTGTGATGTCACCAGGTTAATATCACCACATGAATGAATGGTTATTTCAGATACAACTAACTGCAGTTATTGCAAGGAGGAAGGGAGACAACTCCAGCTACATCTTGGTGTTCTGTTTGTGACGACGCACTATGTGAACGATGTACAAGGATGCACCAACGAATCCCTCTTCCGTCACCATGACGTAGTTGACCTGTCTGGAGAGACAAGGGTCAAGGTCAAGAGAAAGGTCATGTGTAAAGTTCACAAGGACGAGAATATCAAATATCTTTGTAAAGATTGTAAAACAGCTGTTTGTCAAACATGTTGCATTATCCATCACAGGAAATGTGAGATGGTTGTTGAAATTGAGTCAGAGATTCCTGCAATGAAAACCGAGCTGAAAAGGAATAAAGAGAATTTGTTAAAGAAACACGATGAGATGAAAACATATGTTGGAAAACAAAACTCCAGGGTCAAAGAAGAATTGGCGCTTCATATAAAAATAGAATCAAACATCAAGTCTGCAAGTCTCACAGCAATACAGATGATCAAAGCCAAGGAACGGAAACTTCTGTCTGAACTGAAAGAGATGTCTGACAGACACATTGGACAACTGAAGGCAGACATAAAGTCAGGTGAGATGTCAGTACAGATGTACCAACAACAGACTGAGCTGATAGACCAGGCTCTACAATCTGAGTGTGACATGGATGTGTATGAGATGTATCAGGGATGTGAGGCCGGTGATGTGGAGGCTGTCGGAGTCGTAGAGGTGAAGGAGAAGGGAAGAATAGACAGGATAACATTCAGACAGGACACGGACAAGCTGAGTAGAGCACTGGAAGATCTCCATCTGGGTGAGATACACGTCCAGTATGACGATGTGCTGGACCTGAAGGCTGCTCCTGTGTTACAGGACACCATTAACGTGACAGTAGCAGGAGATGCAGATGGAGAGACCCCACTGACGTGACGGTGTTAGAGGTGAATGGTACAGACACAGTGGTAGTTACAGACTACAACAACAAGAGTGTCAAGTCCTTCTACACCAGGAACAGTCAACCAGGTCACAGCAAGCTCAGTCTGGAAGGTAGACCATATGGTATAACAAGGCTGAAACACAACCAGGTGGCTGTCACTGTGCCGGATACCAGTCAGATTGTAACAGTTGAAGTGAACCCTGACCTGGTGCTGCTGTCGACCATCACAACCAGCAAACAGTACCGGGGTATAACGTCTCTGACACCATCAACACTAGCAGCAAGTTCCCCTCCCCTCCCTGTGTTGATATCCTGGATATGTCGGGACACGTGCTGAAGTCAGTTTGTCCTCGCCACAATGGTGGAAACATCTTAAAGTATCCCAACTTCCTCTGTACCACGAGGACAGGAAACATCCTGGTGTCTGACAATGGAACCAACTGTGTCGTATGTCTGACCCCGAGGGAGATGTGGTGTTCAACTACAGACCTACAGGAGACACAGCACTGATGGATCCTTGTGGTATCACAAGTACCAGCACAGGCGACATCCTGGTGACAGACACCTCACTACACAGAGTCATCCATCTGACAGAGTCAGGACAGTTTGTTAGAAACATACTGACATCACAGGATGGTGTCCAGTATCCATGCGGACTGTGTGTTGGTGGGCGTGGTCGTATGTACTTGTGTACATCAGATGTAGTGAAGGTGTTTACATGCTGTAAGTGAGTGAACATGTCACAATCCCTTTCTTTATGTTAAATATAGATATATGTTACCTGGATAGATATGATGTGATGCACTGTAGGAACATTTGACTTTTGATGTGAACGTGACGAACCATACCTGTTGTAGAAAGACACAGCTTGTAATGTAATGAGGGTCGGTGGGGTAGCCTAGTGGTTAAAGCGTTCGCTCGTCTCGCCGAAGACCCGGGTTTGATTCCTTACATGGGTACACAATGTGTGAAATCCATTTCTGGTGTCCCCGACTTGATATTGCTGGAGATTGCTAAAAGCTAAAAGAGATGTAAATCCATACTCTCTCACCTACTGTAATGTAATGTAATATATATATGTAGGTCTTCTGCTTTAACAGCCACCTATTCAGATATATTGTCTAAATAACACTATATGGTCCAAAATCATTTAGAATATTGATATTTTGAGTTGTCGTAATGATAACGAATCTTGGAATCTAAGTAACTTTGATGAACAAATGCTTTAAAGAATTTACTCAGTGGGTTGTAGGCCTTGTGGCATGTTTGTAATAAACGTTAACACATGTAGAATATTGATATGTTGAGTTGTAATGCGGTTTTCACTCTAGGTCTTCTCGACCTCGACATGTTGTGTGATATGCATAGCAGGGCAATCGTCTTTGCTCACATTTTAGCAACTCTGTATACGTTATTCTGATCACATTTATGCTGTTGATGTTAACTCAGTGTTGGATACGGGGTCGTGTTTGATTGGTACAAAAGCAGCCAAACTAGTTGGAGCATGAAGTCAGTTTAGAGCAGCCAACCGATCACCAATTAGATACAGTAAAACTACCACTGCACACATACACATGAATTGCCTTGTCGACTTGTGACATGTTGTGATGTACAAACCGACAGCTCTACGTTCGATTGACGTGCCAACTGAGCGGTCAAAGGGAGATAAGTCTTTATGAGATGTATATGAAGAGCCATAAAATATAGCGAACGAATGACTAGTATATCAGTGAGTTAGTCACATTATTTCAACAATATCGCAGCGGGGAACATCAGAAGTTGGGCTCACGCATTATAATTTGTTGGGAATAGAACCCGGGTCTTCGTCGTGACGAACGAACGCTTGAACCACTGGCCTACCCGGCCCCTATTTTATCACAATTTGTGTTTAGTGTGCGTGTTGTAAATTGATATCCCCATCCCCACTGTCAATCTCCAGGACTTGTTGATGTTGCATCTGTTCGTAAGTCACCATCAGACATAGCGATGATGCGGTATAAAACATTATTCACTCAAACATCTACATGGACGAGTAGGTCCGAGTAGTAAAATGTTTCTAAATGAAAAGATCCCAAATTAAAAAAATTGACATGGACCTTGTATTCCAACATTAGACACACAGCTGGAGTATGTTCACATTTTTTAAAAATAGCGTTGTATCTAGTATAGGTAATACAATACTTAAATTATCTGAAAAGATGGAAACATGTGTTTTTTACTTTCAAACAACATCATTATCGCAGTCGTCTGTGCCACCCATGTGTTTATCAGGCCGGTCGAAGAGAAGAGGACTAGTACCAAAAATATTCGGTTTACTATGCTGCGTAAAACGCTATTCACACAACCACCCACTCGCCCACTGAAAAGCTGGATACAGCAACCGCCACTTATCAATGGTCGAGTTTATACCTTTCAAACTCAAACACGTGTCATCGTATCCCAGTTGTGTAGATCGATGCTCATGCTGTTGATCACTCGATTGCCTGGTCCAGACTCGATTATTTACAGACCGCCGCCATATAGTTGGAATATTGCTGAGTGCAGCGTTAAACAACAACAGCTATTAAGGTCGGTTGAAGCTTTTGCCCTGCAATAGACAGAACTATCCTGTTAAATAGGGGCGGCAGGGTAGGCTAGTGGTTAAGGTGTTCAGTCGTTACGCCGAAGACCCAAGTTCGATTCCTCACATGGGTACAATGTGTGAAGCACATTTCTGATGTCCCCGCTGTGATATTTCCGGAATACAAGCGGCATAAAACTAAACTCACTCACTCCTGTTTAACAGTCGGTGTCAGTTGCTGTGTCACAGGGATGGAAATAACCCATTGCCCTACGCCCGAGTCCAGTGTTTTTTTTCTGTCGGGCAAGCAAATTTGTATATCACACTGTACCGGTGTCCAGTTGATATTCCAATGTTAATTATGTTGTTTTATTTAAAAATCAACAAGAAAACGGCCGGTATAGTGGGTATCAGGGCAAGTGAGTTTAAAAAGTATCAATTTTAAAGTTATTTCCACCCCTGCAGTGTGAGTATTACCGTTCGTGTATGCTGTATACTGTATCTGCTGAGCGTTTACAGACTCGATTATTTACAACCGCCGCCATATAGTTGGAAAGTGCTGATGCAGCGTTCCAACAACAACTATTACAGTTGCTGAAGCTTTTTGGTCTATTACACCGTGCGATTCCTCACATGGGTACTAAGCTGTGATAGCGTTTATCTGCATAAAAAAGACCCTGTTTAACAGTCGATTGTTGTGTGGTATGTGTAGAAATCGCAATATTAAATATTACCCGTAATGGTGGCCCGATCTGTCGCATGATTTGTGATACACTGCTGGGTTTTGGAACATATTTTCTTATATTGGACAAAGTCGAGTGCCCCTCAATGAATTGGTTCAATACAAGTCGCAGAACGACGCTGTACAGATGGGTACTTCAGCAAGTTGAATAACACAAGGGGCTCTTTGAGTACTAGCGCTATATAAGAGTAGAAACATGTTAACACATTTTCATTGCGAATATCATTATCCATATTAGGTGGCATACAAGTGTAAACACGCATTAAGTAACAATTTATCACGTTGTAAGTGACTCCCAGTAGGATTGTATTGTTAAACATTTCGTCTCAAAAAAAGATACAGGTCAATATCAATACAGGTCAATATCGATACAGGTCAATATCGATACAGGTCAATATTGATACAGGTCAATATCGAGACCGTAGTGTTTGTTTTGTTTGTTGTTTAACGCCGCACTCAGCACTATTTTACCTATATGGCGTCGGTCTGTACATAATCGATAATTCTGGACCAGACAATCTAGAGATCAACAGCATGAGCATCGATCTACGCAAGTGTTATACGATGTTATGTGTCAACCAAGTCAGCGGGCCTGACCGCCCAATGCCGTTAGTCGCGTCTCACGACCTGCATGTGTTACTGAAGACCAGTTCTAACCCGGATCTTCATGGGTGAGACGGAAATGCAACACTGATCAAATAGAATAGCAGATATTCGAAACATAATAATCAAAACAATCAACAATCAAAGTATTGAACATATAAATCACGTCCGTCTTCTACTGCATCCATTAGAAATGTTGATATATTTTGTTAATACGACGGTTATCAAACACTGTATTAGTAACCCCAATATTGTCCACGGTATGTAGATCTATATGGGTACCGATGATCGTGGCTCTCTAAAAACGATACATCGCATACTGGACTTGCAGTAGGAACGTTAAATATGCACTTATTCAGTTTCCAAATTGTAATCTTTCAAAACTCGTTTAAAGCTTGCTGAACAATTGTTTTGTCAAAACTGAGTTTGCCAGTTCATAACATGAAAACATATTTCCGGAGATTTACGGCATGGTTAATGTTTTAACAATTTTTACCGTCTAAAAATATCAAAATTTATTATGATTATTTCAAATGGTAACAATACAAAATGCCCCATTCTTCCAACGCCGCCGAAGAAGATGCAGTAAAGAGGAAAAAATCCGAGGAAAATGGTAGCCACCTTTGTGGTTCGGAGCAGTATGGATAAACGACAATACATATAGATTCGTTCCGGTGAGACAAAATAATTTCAAATTAAATTCAAAAGGAAGAAGTATGAAATATTTAATAAGATGGATTTCGTCTTTTAAGCCCATGCGAATTTCCACCGTTTTTAGGCTAATGGGCCTATATAAAGATTGTCTCCTTGTAAAAGCACATGGCGAACGTCGGTGTTTACAACGTTCAAAGCACAATCAAAGTATCCATGTGTACACTGCTTGCTGAACTTCAGAAACAGGTCACATTAAAGACAGTCATAAAGGTTGTTTTATGCTCGTTAGTTAGATGACTGTTCTTGAATACTCGCTTGCTTTGAAAATGTACAATATATACATATGCATATTCAGCATTACCTGAGCGAATGCGCAAACTCATGCCATTGTGGTGTGTTGGCTCAAATCACGTGATCAGTTTGTTGTGGCGATAGTCGCGTGACGTCATTTTCTCCAACCTGTCGCGATCCACATCGCAGTAATGATCTATTTTTAGAACTCCACGTGGCCTGAAATTGACAAGGCAAAGTTGCGTGTTGTATATTTCGTCGCCAAGCTGATGTATATAAGGCTAACAGTGGTGTATAGAGTCATATCGACGACGGTCAAGCAGACAGACAACACAAGGGATAATACCTGGTGATATTTCAGAGTGGAAAAGGACAATTGGGATACAACTTTATCAAGTTCATATACACTGTCAAAAAATACATTTCGAGGAATAGTTATTGTATGTGTGACATTGAGCGACATCACAATGGGTTTGTTACTATCAAGGCTCATGCAGATCTACAATGAGTTTTCATCGGAGCCAGCTCGTATACTGATGCTTGGGTTGGATGCGGCAGGTAGGCAGCTCGGGGATGTTTGTTTGTTTGTTTGTTTGTGTGTCGCCTAACGTCGCACTAATCAATATTCTATCTATATGGCGTATACTAAACTATTCACACTTTGCTAAGGATCAAATCATGGATTCAACAGAAAATTATGATGTGGGCTCAAAGTTGGTTTAAATATCTAAGCTTATTGTAAGAATGGATCCTAGGCTTCAGTATGTCATCGCATCTTGTGGACCCCATATCTGCTATTGACAGGCGTTGTGTACTCGTCAATGACTCGTTCCATGATTTGCAATATGGTTGATTGGTGCCATGAAAACCATTTATATGGTTACTCATGTATCAAGTGCATAAGGTTAGTTCGTCACGATATGGCTGAAATATTGCCGATGTGACGATAAATATTAACTCACTCACTCACTCATAGGTTAGAATAAAGTGACTGCTTGCCTAAAGAGGGGTTACCATATTATTATCTATCCAGTTTTAAATGGATACAATTTCAAATTATAAATCTACATTAAAGTAGAGTTGGGAATTTTTGTGATCCTTAGCAAAGTGTGAGTAGTATATGAAATAGTCGAGTTTCACCGCCGCATCTCCTTAGCCTTTTACAACAATTTAAACTATATAGGTTGATGAAGATCAATTGTAATCCGAATCTTCATGAATGATGGGAGGTGTTTAATAATAGTAGTTCATTATGTTTAACTCGGAGAATCGATATTAAACGTTGATTGATTATCGATCAGTAAACCTGTTGTTGATAACTATGAAACAAGTTAGATCATATACCGTGAGGTTTCCTACATTCTCATACAACTGCTAAAACGTTATGGTTTTATAAATTGCAAAAAGTGTCTATGACATTCAGAAATCAGCTTCAGGTTCTCAGGAATAAACAATGATGTGAAAGGTGAGTGTGGTATATAAATACTTACACAAGGTGCACAATAGACAATGGCATATAACGTGGGGAAGACGATAATCTCGTCACATATATCACTCCGCTTGTCTCGAACTACTAGTATGTGAGTGAGTATGGTTTTACGCCGCTTTTAGCAATGTTTCCGCAACATCACGGCGGGGGACACCAGAAATAGCCTTCACACACTGTAGCCATGTGGGGAATCGAACCCGGGTATTTGAATTGAGGAGCGAACGCTTTCACCACTTGGCTACCCCACTACTAGTATGTGTTTGTTATGGTAACCAGGAGTAAACCTTGATTCAGTGTATAGGTTTCAAATTTAAACGTTATGCCGTGGCACTGGCCGAGCTTAGAATGAGCATAGTTGTACGCCGACATGCCACTGCTCCAGCAATACCACAACCGAGGACACTAGAAATGTGTTTCACGCTTAAGAACCATGTGAGGATTCGAACCCAAGGGTGAATCGCAAAGATCGAATGCTTTAACCACTCTGCCACCCTCACCCTTCCACATAGATTGGATAAAAATACATTCTTTTTGTGCGAAGTTGATTCGTCGTCATCGGTTTAGGATTGAAAGAACTTTTTGTTTTCCCTCTTTGACTGGTGTGGTAATGTTGTCCCAGGTAAGACGACAATCCTGTACAAGATGAAGCTGAACGAGAGCGTGTGCACCATCCCCACCATCGGCTTCAACGTGGAAACCGTCAGCCCGGTGAAGGGTGTGACGTTCACCGTGTGGGACGTGGGGGGTCAGGAGAAGATCCGACAGCTGTGGAAACACTACTACCTCAACACACAAGGTAGGTCAACATATACCCAACACTACTACCTCAACACACAAGGTAGGTCAGCATATACCCAACACTACCCAACAACACACAAGGTAGGTCATATACCCAACACTATTACTACTACCTCAACACACAAGGTATGGGAGTCATACAACACTCTTCACACAGAATAACCCTCGGTGCACAGTACGTACACCCAGTCTGTTGTTATGGCCGACATAATGGGGTATTTATCAGAAAATGGCTGAGTAAACCTTGACGGGAGACAGTCGGTCGCTGGGCCCTCAGCTGTAGCCTGGCTGTTCTGACGTGTGATAATACCCCGACTGCGTGGATCGACGTTGACATCAGAGCAGTGGTTGACCAACACATATTATACAACACCAATAGACAATACTCATATCAATACCTACGGTTTAGGTTAGGAACACGAAATAAATAACGCCTTCCCTTGCACCAATAGCAATTCCAACTTCCATTAACATCTATGCAAATATAAATATGACCACACTTGAAAATGCCTTTTAGATATACCGTGAATGAAACAGTGGATTTTCATAGATTAGCCAAGCAAGTATTGTTTATAACATGTTCCCCAAAAGGCCTGCGCCCAAACACTGACTATACCTGATTATCTGACAAAAGAAAGGGTATGTGTGGCATCAATCATCTTAACGATGTCACCGACTTCCTATTATAGTCTACATTGCGTTTCTGTTAGGGCTGCGCAATATAACCGGTTTACCGGTATTTACCGGTTCAGACATGACAACGATACGTATTGCGATACGCTGATCGAAAACCGGTATTTTGATATGCATTCGGAAAACGTCGTAACACTCGGAAATCTTCGGATATTTCCTTGTTTCATTTGTGCCAAATATTATTCACATTTTTTTTTTCATGATTAAAAAAAGTTTTTAAGCTTAATCAAGCATAGTGATTTTGTTTTTTTTTTGCTCTATAAATCAAGCAGTAACTCGATTATAAGTAGTTTTTTGTTTAAAAATACTTCATGCAATATATTGCAATGCATATCGGAATACATGCTTTCGCATCGCAATATATCGCAATATAAATATTATCTGCAATACCCACCCCTAGTTTCTGTTGAACATTAGGTAAGCAGTCTGTGAAGGTATTATTGTTGGTTATTATGATTCACACAATGTGAACATCGAGTTTTACGTTTTACCTCCACATACACCATATATGTTGACGTCAATTCTTCAATACACCCAAGGTCTGATCTACGTGGTGGACAGCGCAGATCGTCTGCGCATGAAGGAAGCCAGGTCGGAGCTCCATGGAATCTGCAGTTCGCCGGAGATGGCGGGGGTGCCGGTAGTGGTGATAGCTAACAAGCAGGATTTGCCAGGTGAGTACGTCAGACTAGTCCATAATGACCGGCAAGGTAGAATCAGACCTACAGCAGGCAAACTAGTGGTTGATACTATTGCACAGTGACACTGTTATGGAGAAATTAAACCAGGGCGTTGGGAGAACTTACCAATGGTTTTACCGACAGGTAGATACATAACATGTTGGTTTTTGTACTGGCATAAGTCACACTCCTGCCATATGCTAGCATACTGTACAGTGATGGACACGAGGTGTTTGGGGAAATCAAACCAGGTTTATCTGAGAAGAGCTAACACGTTCACCACTGAGCCACCCTGCCGCCAATTGCTCCTGATAGCCATTGACTATTATATCAAAAGTGATTCGTGTATCAAACAAAAGGTGAATTTTATACAGCCAAATGACTTCATTCAGCACTAAGGAAAAGGGAAATATTTCTTTACGTATTAGGGTGTATTACTCACAACATTATCGAGTCTAGTTAGTGGAAGTATATATTTTTTAATGTATATATATATATAAATATATATATTTGTGTTTCTGGACTCAGGTGCCCTCAAGCCCACTGAGGTTGTCGAGGAACTTGACATGGGTGACCTCAAAAACCGGAAATGGTACATACACGGCGCATGCGCACCAAATGGAGAAGGGTTGTTAGAGTCGGTTCAGGAAATGTCACGACTTGTGAAAGACTTTCAAAAGAGTGGTCGATGATGAATATGGTCGCTCCACAATATCAAATATAGCAAAGCAATCAAAACTTCACAGTGGACAATTATATGACCTATGAAGGGACCAACACTGCCGAGATCTGGGACAGAAGATATAGTCCATAGCTCTACCGGGGTCACTCTGGATGTTGATCATCCTGTATGTAACTTCCTGTGACGGACAAACTTGATATTGTTGTTCAGGGTTCACTCAAGTGTGGCTGTGTGAATTTCAAATTTACGTTAATATTGAAATCAACTTCATGTGAGTGAGTGAGAGTGATTGTTGTGTTATTCCGCATGTGCAACTATTGGCCACGAGCTGTGACTGACTGCAGACTGTGATACGTTAGGCACGCCAAGTTTGAATAATTCACCCGAATGAATTTACGTACTTTCACAGATTTATTATGATTTTGTTGTTTATTTGTAAACATTACGTCAATATTTGTTTATTTTTTCTTCATAATAAACATGTTTTTACACCTGGTATTCCTAAGACATAATTACCAGTATGTGTGTTAGTGAGTGCGTGTGGATGTCACAGACAAGGAACTGGAACATTTGTTAAGTGAAAGGTTTTGGCGCCATAACCAAGGAATTGTAATTGTGAGAAATCCGTACTGGCCATCTTGGTCGTTATAACCAGGTTGGTGTTATAACCAGGCTCCACTGCATTCAGGTTAAACAATCCGATCTGCATCTAAGTAGATTATTAGCATTGGGAACACATTCTGCTGTTGAAGGTAAAACCTTACCAAATCTGTGTACCACAACTGTCTAGTTCGGTGGAGTTTATCGAACGGTGCATAGCAACTTGCCTCACACCTATGTGCCATGCGTACCCTCGAATTGAACTGAGCTCAGTACCACAACGTACACATACATACGAGGTACACCCAACCTGATAGCAAGGGTTAACTGTGTAACATACACGTTCCACCCAACCTGATAGCAAGGGTTAACTGTGTAACATACAAGTTCCACCCAACCTGATAGCAAGGGTTAACTGTGTAACATACAAGTTCCCCCCAACCTGATAGCAAGGGTAAACTGTGCAACATACAAGTTTCACCCAACCTGATAGCAAGGGTTAACTGTGCAACATACAAGTTCCACCCAACCTGATAGCAAGGGTTAACTGTGCAACATACAAGTTCCACCCAACCTGATAGCAAGGGTTAACTGTGTAACACAGAAGTTACAAGTAAGATGTATCAAGGGTTAACTGGGCAAAATGTGACTTACACTCCCAGCTGATACCAAGGGTTAACTAGACAAAATCCACACATACAGACTATATTACTGAGATATGGTAGAAGGTACTGACACTTCACTCAGCAATCCCACAGCCATCAACCCACTGTGTTTCTTTGAAATTTGTGGGTAATATTTTTGATCGTTATTACCAACTTCCTCCAGCAACGCATTTTTGATCGTTATTACAAAAACGGCTTTTTCTAAAGATAGTTCGTGTGTAGCAAAGTAGAGAAAACACATTATATGTCTTTTCAGTCGGTTATCAGAATGCACTGCCGTAAAAATATCTGCCAATCCTGCCACGTCGGTTTTGCGAAACGGTCATGGCCTTTTAAAGAGAAACAAATCAAGTTCCGTTCGTAACTACTCGCCTCTTTCCGTGACCTACAAGAAGACTCGTACCATTCGTCACCACTCGCCCCTTTCCGTAACCTGCTATTCGGCTTGTCTCGGAATAACACGAGTTGGTCACTAATGGACTCGTACCCCTATCGTTCGCCATTATTGCCAAGAATCGTGGCAAACCAATCAAATCGCGCGTAGTAAAACGCCGCAGCATTTCGAAGCATGAAAATGGCAGCACCGTCGAACTTAGAAACTTCACTAACTATGCAAAGCACAATTTAAACATAAACTTTGAGCTAAAGGTCACGAGATGGGTACGAGACGCCATCAGACTTGCCGGAATGATACGAGTAGTTACGAATGATCAAGTTCCATTCGTCACTTCTCGCCTCTTTCCTCAACCTCCAAGAACTATTCGGCTTGTCCCGGAATAACACGAGTTGGTTACGAATGATCAAGTTCGTGACCAAGGGAAGGGAGGTAACTCTTACTGGCTTATACTCCGCTTTGGGCGATTTCTTGATTCCCGGCGAGTGAGGATTGATTCTTGTTCCTACAACACATTCATTAAAAACAATTACTTCTTTCGTTTGATATAAGTACTTTCTGTTTTGATTATAAGTGAAATTTGTGAAATTATGAATGAATCATTCTATGTTGCATTTGCGAAACATATATTTCCAAGTTTTGTGTGAGGATCCGGTTTAGAACTGGTCAACCCATGCTGGTCCTTAGAGATCGGGTGGTCAGTCTCGCTGACCTGGCTGATGCATGTCATCATATTCCAGCTGTGAGGACCGATGCTCATGATGTCAATCACTGTATTGTCGGGTCCTGATTCCATTCGGTTGTTTACAGTGCTGGAATATTGCTGTGTGCGGCCTTAACAACAATGAACACTCGTTGATATTGGTGAATTTGTACAAGAACTAAAAAACACTCAGTGCAGAGACTTCTACGTCTGTCTTCCCTATAACAACGCGAACGTGACAGAAGAGTGTCTCTTCGACATTTGCATTCCGAGTGTTGACACATTTGCCCCTCGTCAACTCGTCCATGTGCCGTACGTGCCCCTGTACGGAGCTTGGTACAGTGGTGTTTACAACTGGCCACTAGCGCGCTGTTGTAAAGTTTGACAGGTCTGGTTAAATCCAGTAGTTGCTGTACGTTCCAATCTGTGGGGATATTCTCTTTCCTGGCACAACACTAGCTGGGGTTATATCAATCGATGGCATTGATACTGATATCTGTTAAATTGTTTATAGCTTGTTTCCTTTCGTTGGTACAATTTCTGCTGATTCTGCTATATTCTGAGTAACGGAAAGTGGAGAATGTAGAGGGTGGAGTGGATACCGGTGGTTTAAGTGTGTCGTGTATTGCTGTGACTGTTTTGACATTCTAGCGTGGGAAAACAACATAAAATGTTAAAGACAGAGAGAATAACGTTTGCAAACACAAACCTACGTCATCATCTAATATAAAACACAACCCATTTTATTATTTCTGAAAAATATGTCCTTAAAACGTCTCAATCGTTTTCGAACTTCAAGGAAAGTAAATGTATGTAGGACTAGATAACAATTAAGGAAAACATAGAGAGATACCAGGTGACTGGAGGACCACATATAACACGTGACCTAACTGTGTCAATATGAAATTCCCTATCTGCACAGTATCATAACTATCAAAATATCGGTAATTACTTAGTAGAACCAACCACATTGGTTCTACACTTGCTAAGAAAGACCCCGGTTGCTACATTTGAATGGCGCTGTATTTGTTTTCCTGATGTTGATTGTTTCCGTCCAGCAATGTATAAAATGTGAAGTTTAATGTTCCCCAGTGTCAGGGCACACTTTACCCAGGTTTCACACAGGAAGACGGGATAGTATTGGAATAACAAGCGTTCCTGACAGGTGCCCGATGGCCTGTCCCCCTTCTCCTCAGCGAGGGTCCACGAGATGGCTGACCTGTGTCCACACCGTCGTGTTATTTGACGGGGAAGCGAGACGGACTGACGGACTGACGTTCGTTGTCATATAACAGACATTGTGTGTAGGTGTCCCGGAGGACGGATGGTGGGTGGGGGAAGGGGGATGTTAGACAGGTGACAATCTCTCCCATGTACCTGCTTCATGTCAGCTGGGGGAGACACGGTGAAAGGGGGTCAACCGATGTCGGAGAGGGGTTGACGCCCTGCGGCACAGACTGCCAGTATTGCTGATACCGTTAAGACAACTTCCACCGAGGACAGTGACCCAATGACTTGGTTCATTGTATTTCATATTACCCCGACGGCGTGGGAGACAGCTTACAACATCAACCACTTTATCCGTCCAAACTCCATGAGAAACTCTCGACCGACTACTACTGCTGCTACTACTACTACTACTACTACTACTACTACTACTACTACTACTACTATACTGCTGCTGCTGCTGATACTACTACTACTACTACTACTGCTGCTGCTGCTGCTGATACTACTACTACTACTACTACTACTACTACTACTACTACTGCTGATGCTGCTGATACTACTACTACTACTACTACTACTACTGCTGCTGCTGATACTACTACTACTACTACTACTACTGCTGCTGCTGATACTACTACTACTACTACTACTGCTGCTGCTACTACTACTACTACTACTGCTTGCTGCTGATACTACTACTACTACTACTACTGCTGCTGCTACTACTACTACTACTACTATTGTTTGGAAGGAATGAAGTCGCACTGAGATGATGCTTCTCGGATTTCATATGACAATTGATAATGAATCTCACGAGAAACATTTCAGCTGATATCACTGATTGAATCATTTAAGCGATTTAAAAAGATTCAATTGTCAATATCCAGAATTCATTCCAAGCGTTACGTTCAATCGTCAAACACGATACACCTGCACGATACACCTGCACGATACACCTGCACGATACCAAATGCACTATTCGCCTGCCTCGCCATGCTGCAATGCACGTTATGTGCAACGGTATATACACCTTGATGTTGCAGTGTGCGTTTTTGTTAATGGAGTAGTCCCAATTAAGACGTCAAGGACGTTGAAAACGAGACACCAGGGTTACGCTTCACGCTAGGACGCGATTAAAACCGCACTAGCATTGAATCTAATTGATTAGAAAGGAAGTGCTTGGTCTTCAATATTTGATTACAGATCCGATGAAGCGTCTGGGCGAACGGGTTTGCACGTGTTATTACATTCCACGCATAGTTGAGAGCATGTTCCTGTAACTGTCTCCATAGGTAACAGGGGGCAGTGGGGTAGCCTAGTGGTTAAAGCGTCCGCTCGTCACACCGAAGACCCGGGTTCGATTTCCCATATGAGCACAATGTGTGTCCCCCGCCATGGCATTGCTGGAATATTGCTATTGTAAAACTAAACTCACTCACTCCATGGCTAACTTTTAAAGGTAGTGGAGCGCTTCTTTCAACATCATCCTGGATTATATAATGGTGCTAACAGTTCCATCACCGTGTTTTTTGTACATAAAAATCTCCTCAATATATTGCTACATTTAGAACGTATGGCAGTACGTATTTCTAAATATGCATCGGCAATGCCGTACACTTTTACAAGAAAAATATACTCCTGAAAACATGATTTTGAAAACGTCATAAAATCGTTACTTAATTGGGTGTACTGAGTCCAGCGCCGGAACCCCTGTTTGCTGTTCAAGTCGAGTTATACTGTAAATCAAATGACCATACTGTTGAATGTCAACACACCGGCATGCTCCTTCTAACAACCATTGGCGTCCCCATTCGTGAACCACTCTTGTTATTCCGGGACAAGCCGAATGCCGACGAAACGGAAAGGGGCGAGTGGTGACGAATGTTGTCCCTGGAATAGACGCGGC